CGGCAAACCGGATAGGTTTTTTTCTGTACAGCACGACTGCGCATGCTCCGTAGGGTGCTTTTGCGCATCCACGAAGACCTGGGGGGGAACTTTGTCACACGGAAGGGAACATGGGTGGGCGCCGGATGCCACCGGAAACGCAATCAGATGCCCGCCCTTGCCCCGCGGTTTCCGGATACTAGTACCTCCGAGGTACTAGTTTTTTGCTGCGCAGTTTCGGCGGGAAGCCTCGTTTGAGCCACGGGAGTGCTACGCTTCCCAGATGTGCCGGTGAGATCGCGTCCGGAAACTCCGCATGTCTTCCGTCTGACTAGCGTGGCTAATGTTCCGTGTGACCGCAGCCTAAGTTTATTTATTTAACTTTCAGCTTATATACCGCTCTAACCCCGAAGGGTCTCTGAGTGGTTTACAGATAATTTAATTTCCTATCTAGGGCCATTTTTTTTTTGTAGGGGGTGATTGCCTATTGGCACCCAGGCAGGGGAGTCCTATTGTCCAATGGCTCTTCTAGGCGGGCTTCAGATGGTATTCTTTCTCGAAGTTATTGTTGTTGAATGCCTTTATCCAGACTGAGATGCCATAAAGCATCTGAGGTAGAACTTTGGCTTCAAAAATCTTAATTGCGGCAGGAACATACTGGTTAGTATTGTCTACCATGACTCATCACTCAGATAGAAGAAGAAAAGAAGAAAAAGAGATTTGATTTATACCCCACCCTTCATTCGAAGTCTCAGAATGGCTTATAAACTCCTTTCCCTTCCCCTCCCCGCAACAGACACCCTGTGAGGTAGGCAGGGCTGATAGAGCTCTTTCCAGAACTGCTCTTTTTCAAGAACAACTGTGCCAGAAGTATGACTTGCCCAAGGTCATCCAGCAGCTGCAAGTGGAGGAGTGGGGAATCAAATCTGGTTCTCCCAGATTAGAGTCCACACACATAACCACTACACCAAACCACTACACCACTATACCATTACTCAGACTGTTCTGTGGAGCAACTGTTGGCTCCACTGCAAAACTAATGTGCAGCTATGATTGTGCAAATGAAGCCAGTAGCACTCCATGGAATGAGGAAGCACTAACGGCAATAGATTCTGCCTCATGGTGTTTGTGTATCACTTATTCCTCATCGCTATTGCCTTAGTGCAACTTAATCACTTTATCTTACTGTCACCTGTCCGATCAAGTCTTCCTGGGTCATCAACGGGGCCATTAGCAGCAATCAAGACACAGCCCAAACCTTTGTTTCATCCCAATAAAGCAACCATCATCATAACTGCTCTTTAAAAGTTTCCCACCGGAAATGACACACCTTCCCACAGCCTCAGGGCACAATTTTTCTATAAGGATCGGCCCTCAAAACCCGCTCAGTGTGTGCTGTGTGTTCTTGGTACCAACCACATACACCCGCACTCATGAGCCTCTCTTTCTATCCTTCACAGATGAAACACTGGTCATTTCTCTCTAGATCTGCTGCTTCTGCAGACCTCTCCAGGACTGGTAAATATCATCCAGTCCCTGAAACACTATTCCCTTTTCCTCCCTGCCTTTCCAATTAGCTCTTGAATTTTGTGTGTTTTGTTGAATTACCTTTTTTTTCATTTTCTTTGTTAATTTAAAAAACCCTCTGTAATTTGAACAAACTGCCTGTTTATTTGAGAGCTCTCACAGGGACAATCCCCGTAAACATTGGTGTTTTGCTTCCAGTTGCCCCCTCCTATGCTAATTTCCCCCAACTACTTGGAGACTGCCTCTTTGGGTAACACTGTCTTCACAAGAAGAAAAGGGCACATGTGAGACTTGGAGGCAGAAAACTCATGAAATTTAGAAGTCCTTGTGTCATCAACAAACAAAATTAAGATTTTGTAATCAGTGAAGTACCCTGACCTGGATAGCCCATGCCAGTCTGATCTCCAGAAGTTAAGTACGGTCAGCAGCACTGGTTTATACTTGGATGAGAGACCACCAAGGAAGTCTAGGCTTGCTGTGCAAAAGCAGGTGATGGCATATCAGTAGGGATGTGCACTGAGAAAAATTCTGTTACAACGTTGGATCTGGGATTTGGGGTTTGCTTCATTTCAGATAAGGCATTACCAGTTTGGATTAGAAATCCATGCCGTGTTTTTTGTTCCGAATTTTTGGGACCATTTTCTGTGCATGTGTACTACAGGCACTATCGTTTTCAATGTACAACCAATCTGAGGATCTCTCATGCCACCAAGATCAAATGAAACACAGTCCTTCCTCTTTTCTCCACCCCCCAAATCTCAAGCACATGCAGCTAGGGATGCCAGCCTCCATGTGGGACCTAGGGATCCCCTAGAATTACAGTTTATCACCAGGCTATAGAGATCAGCTCCCCTGGAGAAAACCAGTGCTTTGGAGGATGAAGTCTATGACATCGCACTCCACTGAGGTTTCTGTCCTCCCCAGGCTCTATCCTCAAATCTCTAGGAGTTCCCCAATCTGTACCTGCCTCCCCCACCAGTGGCCAGGGGGGACCTGGCAATGTTACATGCAGCAAAGGGGCTCTTTTACCAGGCTCCAGAAAAGTAGCTCATTTCTGCTCATGTACCCCTCTCTGTAGACTACTATGATGGGGAAATGACCAACAGTGGGGCCAGCTTGGCATTTAATATAAATCCTTCTTACATCCATTTTCTTCTCCTACTGTAACAGTGAAGGAGAGACAAGAATAAGAATGTCTTACATTTGTACTGAGGAAAGTCTTCTGATGTCCTTCATTGCAGTGGTTGTGCAAGCTCTTCTCAAAGTCATCTTCCAGGATAGCTGCCAGTTCAAGACCATGGCAGCAGCATCCATTTTGTAGTTTGCTGTGGGTTTGATTGGGTTCTGAGCAGAGGTGGATCTACTGTGAAACTAATGAAACTTAAGCTTCAGGGCCCCCAATCCCAGGGCCCCCTGAAGCAACTTTTTTTTTAATGAATGATTTTTTTCAACAAAAATTAATGGCGGTTTTAAAAGGTTTGTTATTAAAAGAAGGCTATTTTAATGCGGAATCATAAGCCAATAGGTTGAAGTACTTAATACTGAACTTAATGGAACATGCTCAGTGTTCTAGCTTCCCCTAAAGTGGGCTGGTTGTTCCCAGCAGCCTAGCAGTTCAGCCTGTCCCAGGAAGAAGCAACAGCACCATAAGGGTGGGGAAAGGCCTGCACGGATCTTGTTGTTTCAACAGACCTGCTTTAGATTGTTGCAGGTAAATTATTATTATTTAGAACTGTTGCAATAAATGTTTTTAGTATTGTGTTTGTTAATGATTCTGAGGAGTTTGGCCTGGCCCAGGAAGAAGCTGCACCATACGGGGAGGGAAAGGCCTAAACAGATCTTGTTGTTTCAAAGTCTGCTTTGAATTACTGCAAGTAAATGTTGGTAATCTGTGCAAGTATTCGAGATCTTTTGAAAAAAAGGTGAAGTGGAATTCAGGATCCAAGTGAGGAGAACTGCAGCCTGGAAATCTTATCTGATATTCCAATATTGTGAGGTTAACCCAGACTTACAATATATTTATTACTTATGGAGGCATTGGTAGTACCAATAATTTCTAGTTTCCCAGGGAAAGATCAAAAAAGTCTCCTCAAGAAAATGCTTGCTGATAGAAACAGAGATGTCACCTTCAAAATTGCTAAGTACGGTTGCCTGGCAATTAAGCTGAGGAAAATATGGATAAGTCATGCTAGTTGATATTTTAGAGATGGTTTTATAAGTAATTTAAGCTATATCACTTAATATTTTAGGTTACTAGTGGTTTATTTATGTATTTTACAAATATTATATTCCTGTACAAGGAACAGAAAAGTTTTTAAGTTTGGGGCTTTACTTCTTTTATTTTGTACCGGTCAATAACTGTAATAAATTTACTTACTTACTTATGTGTTTAGACTTTTTGTACTGTGCATCTTTGTGGATGCTGAAGATATTTGTAGTCAATAATATCCTAAAAAGCCTTGCTATGAAGTAGCATAATAATAGCAACTGGGCTGGGATGAACAAGGACTCCTATGAAAACCTCCATGCTTTTGTTTATATAGTTTATTGAAATGTTAAATTGCATCTGTGTTGCATTGCCTCTTTTATGCTTTTATTTAAGTGTGTTATTTATAAATACATGTAGTTGCAGTAGAACTAATAAAAATAATAACTTTATGTCTGTAATTGTAGAGATCAAGACCACAAGTGGAATAGCAATGAGTTCAAGAAAGTACTTAAGTGGATACCAAAAATGCAAACTCAAGGAGAAACGATCTGATGAACTTTCTAAATGTCAAAAATTGTCAAACTATTTTACAATGTCAAGTCAAACTTTGTCAACACCTACAGCTGAAACAAGCCAAGCAAGCACCAGTGAAGCCAATGATGGTGCACAAACCGTAGGAGCTCTTTCTGGCAATCATCAACCCACTGTTGAAACTTTTGATACAGATGACAATCACAGTGGTCAACATGAAAGTACCATGGAACAAGAAGAGACAGAGCAGAAACAGGAAACAGGAAGCAAATGCAATGATTTCAAGAATACAGTGATCTTTAAATTTGGCCCACAACAGTTGATAATGAATGTATACAGAATTGTTTAATGCAAGACATCAATTTCCCCACCCAAAAAAAACATACACACACACACACACACACAAAAAAAAAAACACAATGATGTATATACCAAATCCAGCAAGGTTTACAAGGAGCAAAACAGAAATTTCTCAAATAAATACTTTGGAAAAAAGATTGAAAAATGGCCAGACTGAGATGAGGTCCTGATTAGTTTACTCAAAGAGCAAAGGCTGTATATACAGTTTTGCTTGTAGACTATGGGGTACAGCAAATAGAGTATAGTAAATACAAAATAAATTGCTGAAAAAGTTCACAAAAATATAAAGATGTAATACATTTCAAATATCAAAGATGTAATTTAATATTTGTTTTCCAGCAGGTGCTAGCAGGTATACAGCACAGGAACAAGGACGAACACTTCTCGAGTCTATCTGCGTTCGTTTCGAGTGATCTTTCTCAATCTCCTATCAACAATAACAAATACAATATAATAGGAAACAAGAAACTCCAAAAAGTCTCACAAATGATTTAAATACAACTTAATAAAATTGTGAAATAATACATACAGTCTTCAATATTCAATGAACTTCTGCAATTCAATGCACCACAAGGGTATCCAAAACATTCTGTCAATTTAAACATAATAACAAATATTAAATATAGTTAATGTTCAATAAACAAATCAACAGTCCAAAATAAAGGTGGTCATCCTGAATACTATATATCAATAACTCACCAAAATGGCTCACACAGCTCCTACACACTGATTCTTTTACATGGACAAGTCAGTCTTACTAGTTAATTGGAAGCTTCCTCTATAAATACAAAGTGCATATCCGGTTTGGGCAGCCAACTGACCAGAAGAAAAGGTAAGTATATCATAAGTTGGCAACCAGCTATTTACAAAGAGGGTAAATATGTGGAAGAGTATAGAACAAAGTATATTAAGAATAGAGAATCTCATGAAGGGTTTAAGGAACATAATAACAGGCAGGGATATAGGAGGGTGTAGATTCATTCTCCTAAAAAACATGATAAATCAAGGGCAGCATTGAGACCAGTGGGATATTCTGTTTTTAATACAAAAGTCCAGAAAGCCTCTCTTTGCAGTAATATTCTCTGCATGTCACTGTGTGTATAAGGTTTGGGTTTCACCACTTCCAAGACTACACATTTAAAGTCATTGGGTCCGTGGCCCGCTATATCAAAATGCTGGACCATAGGAGCCGTTATACATTTATGCTTCAATTTCGATCTGTGTTCCAGGATCCTAGTTCTCAATGCTCTTGAAGTTTGCCCGACATACCTGTGCGCACAAGCACATGTAATTAGGTAAATGACGGACTTCGTGGCACAAGATGAAAAATGGGTGAGTGTTTTCTTAAAATTCAGTTCCGGAAAATCCAGAACACCTGTCTCTGACATCAAAGAACAGGCCGCACAGTGACCACATTTGTGATGCCCAGGTGGTAAAGTGTCTTGCACAAGAACTTTAAAGGCGTCTGCTCTGACAAGTTTGTCCCCAATGTTCTGTGTTCTTCTAAAGCCTATATGAGGAGGTAAAGAGCACGCCCCAATATCCCCCAAAATGTGCCAATGCTTGAGAATGATTTTTTTAATAATATAAGATCTATTTGTATGTTCTATCGCCCAGAATAATCTGTTGTCATTTTTACGATCTAGTTTAGATTGGAACAGTTCCGGGCGGTCCCGCCGTTCCGCTCGGAAACGGGCACTCTGAATCACATTTAAAGGATACTTTCTATTTATAAATAGGCTACTAAGTCTATCTGCCTCCAATAGAAAGTCCTCAAACGTAGTTGAATTTCTCCTGGCCCTCAAAAACTGTCCATAAGGTAAATTATTCTTCAGATGTTGTATATGGAACGAATCAAAATGAAGTAATGAATTTTTATCAGTTTCTTTATGATAGGGGCGGACTGCCAAACTACCATTGTTAACATACACAGTGGTGTCCAAAAAATTAACTCCAGTCATACTGGCAGTATGAGAGAACTTGATGGATGGATGAACCGTATTAATCCATTGTACAAAAGATAATGTAACATCCATATTTCTGATCACAAGAAATAAATCATCAATGTACCGTTTATAAATCAAAATGTCTTTAAAGTAAATATTAGTGGTATTATTAATAATCCAATCACTTTCAAATGTGCCCATAAATAAATTAGCGACACTGGGTGCGAAGGAGCTACCCATGGCAACACCTTTGACTTGGAGGTAAAATTCATCACCAAATCTAAAATGACTTTTCTCAAAAATAATATCAATGAGATCTAGAAGGAAATGGGTGGGTGGATGTAAATGAGGTCTCCTTTCAAGTGTTCTTAACAGGCACAGCCTAGCTTCTTCGTGGGGGATGTTAGTATACAAAGCCCCCACGTCCATGGTAAGAATCACCGCCCCTTCTGGTATGTGCTTACCCTCAATATGTTGTATAAAATCCCTAGTATCCTTAATATAAGAATCTAAAGAGCTAACAAAAGGTTGGAGAAAAGAATCCAGGTACATAGATAGTGGTTCAAGCAGGGAATTCGTCCCAGAGACTATAGGTCTACCTGGCGGAGGAAACTCAGATTTATGGATCTTGGGGAGTGTATAAAAAATAGGCACTCTATAATGTTTTTTCTTCAAAAACTCTGCCGTCTGTGTAGATATATATTCGAAAAGGATCCCTTCATTAACTGTTATAGCAATGAGTCTAATTATTTCATTGGAGGGATCACATTCCATCCTCTTATAAAACTCAGTGTTGTTTAGTTGTCTTCTTACTTCAGCTATATAATCGGTCTTATCCTGAATGACAACTGCTCCTCCCTTATCTGCACCTTTAATTATGATATCCTCCCACTCCACTATTTGTTTTAAACTTTTCCACTGCTCTATGTTAAGATTGAATCTAATAGGTATTTTATTTTGTTCCATGGATAATATATCCTCCAATACCCTGCGCTCAAAAACTGTAATAGAAGCATGATAAACAGGTGGATTAAACTGGGATTTTACTTTAAAAGGGGTAATTATCACAGACTCAGAATCTGCAAAGAACACTTTCAGTTTAATGAGTCTTATCAGCTTGAATATATCAATCCTTGTTTGAAAGGCATGGTACGTGGGAGAAAAGACAAAACCCAAGCCTAAATTAAGTACGTCATGCATGTCCTTGGTTAAAGTCTTGCTAGATAAGTTAACTAATAATTTTTCTTCCTCCCTTGCTGTCAAACTCTTTTTCTAGATGCCAAACATTACTTACAACAGGTGAGTTTTCTGACTGGATGAATGTACTCAGAACTCTGGAGAATCATGAAGACAGCATGGAATATAAGAGGGCAATGTTGTGTTGGATAACAAGAAAGTCAAATGAAAACACTGTGGATCAGCAACTTGAGGAACAGATGAGAAAAAAACCCATACAGTACTATTTTGAAGCACTGAAAAGTGTTGTAGCTGTTATCACCAAATAATGAAAACTTCATGGGGGCTATTAAACTTATTGCAAAGTTTGACTCATTTTTACATGAACATCTTGAGAAATGTAAACATGAAAAAATAAATATTACTTACCTATCCAAAACTGTGTATGAAGAACTGATAGAAATCATAGGGAAACATGTGCAAGATGAAATTGTGACTCAAATCAATGGTCTAGACACCAAATACTACTCTATTATGGTTGACACTATGCCTGACCTGACACATTTTGACCAGCTGGTAATTGTGGTTCGATACTATTATAATGGAAAACCCTGTGAGAGATTTTTAACATTGATACCAATAGAAAACCATTCATCCATGAACTTGTTCAACAAAATACAAGAAGTTCTGGGCAAATATAAGCTGTCAGTTGAAAATATCTGTAGTCAGTCCTACGATAATGCATCTAACATAAAGGGCTCAGAGAAAGGACTGCAAGCACTCTTTAAAAACATTAACAGGTATGCAGACTATGTACCATGTGCAGCCCATTTACCCAACCTTGTTGGAGTAAAAGTAGTGTCTACTGTGCCTGAGGATGTTGACTATTTTGGCATTTTGAAGGAGCTGTATGTTTTCTTTTCTGGATCTCCATGAAGATGGGAATTTTAAACACACAGGACAATCTAGATTTTTCCCTAAAGAGCTTAAGTGTAACTAGATGGTCTGCACAATATAAAGTAGTCCGGGCAATTAACAATGGATATACAGGTATGTTATAAACTCTCAAACATATTTTGAAGACTCAGAAGAGAAGCCTGAATGTAAATGGGATGCAAAGAATTTATACCACAAGCTGGTAAAGTTGGAATATACTATTTTAACAGTTGTTTGGGAAGAAGTTCTTGAGCGTTTCAACAAAACAAGCAAGAAACTCCAAACTCCTGGTTCTGATGTATTTGAAGGTTATCTTCTGCTATCTTTACTTTCATTGGTTAAAGAACTCAGAGAAAATTCAGATGACCAGCTGACCAAACTCCTGGTTCTGATGTATTTGAAGGTTATCTTCTGCTATCTTTACTTTCATTGGTTAAAGAACTCAGAGAAAATTCATCTGACCAGATTGTACACTATGAATCAGAAGCAAAAGGTTTGTGTGAAGATATTATCTCAAGTCATTCTGATGCTTCCAAATGCGTGGTTACAAAGACATTTTCAGATTTAACAAGTGGAAGGACTTCTTTGAAACGAGCTGAAAAATTTAGGATAGAAGTTCTAAAAACTCTATGCTTGGTAATCCAATTAGGCAAGAGGATTGACCCATATGAGCAGACTGTGAAAAGGTTCAAGTTCCTCTCAGAATTGGTGAACAATTCTGAAATTGATGAGGACAATATTAAACTTATAATATTGCATTACAAAGATGATATTGACCATAAATTAGTAAACAAGTGTTACCAGTTCAAAGAATATTTACACCTGAGGAAATTCCAGAAACCAGAAGAAAACACACCATCTAAAATGCAATGTACAATGTTCTTCAGCTTATTTATGAGCAACACCTGATTGAAGTGTTCCCTAATATTACTACTGTGCTTAAGCTGTACTTGACAATGCCTATTGCAAGCTGTGAAGCAGAAAGGAATTTCTCAAAGCTTTCTTTTATAAAGAACAAATTTTGATCGACCATGACTGAAGAGTGCTTAAATTCTTTATGCATATTGTCCATAGAAAATGACATTGCAAGGAAGCTCTCATATAGCAAAACTGTATGTGAATATGTTGCTGGAAAAAACAGGGGGGGGGAGAGTATTTTGTAAAATGTGCTTCATGTGGTATGTATTCTCATAGGTGTCTAAAATAAAATATATTAACTGTGGTCTTTGCTATGATTTATTTCACTATTCTATGATGCATCATGCATGTATATGTTTCCCTAATTTTCATCCCCCATAACCTGAAAACTATAAGGCATAGCCTAGGAAATGTTTATTCACACAAGTGACTTTGACATGTAAGATAAACCAGTACAGCAATTTTAATCAAAATCTGAGATGTAGTGATTATTTAGAAAAAAAAATTGGTGATCTGCCATGGAAGAACCCCATAGAAGATGATAACAGCTTCTGCCATTTGAGCCTTGAGATCTTTGCAAGGCCAGCAAGGCCCTTTGGACCTTGTTGGATGTTGCCCCATTGTTGCTGGTTGCAAAGGGGCCCCCATAACAGTTCAAGCTTCAGGGCCCAAAAAATGTAGATCCACACTTGGTTCTGAGGAAGAACTCCATCACATCCATGGAACATATGTCAATGCCATAGCTTTTTCTCCCCCTGGCAAACTGTGTGTGTGTGACCTGGACATGTGGTCTAATTGGACATGTGAGAAGCCAGCAACCACT